GTACTGAACTATACACAGGGCTACCTTAGTCACACAAGGTGCAAAATCTCCGCCATATGCAATTAGGATACATGAAGTATCACTAGGTATTAAACAATCCTTTTTAAAATTCCACCCAAGTCAGGTGGTTTGGACCTATGCTTCGGCCACCGAAATGAGCAAACGGAGACTAATGTATAACTTCGTTCTTCTCTTCCCTTTCCTAATTTGGGCTTTGGCTGTACTCCGTACGGGAGAGCTTAATCGAATCTGACCTGAGACAATCAGCGACCCTGACTTCCTCTACATGTACGCCATCAGCCTCAGGAACTAACAACATGCACATGAGGGAATCAACTTTGAGTCGTTGCAGGGACGACGAGGTGATCAAGCTGGCGACTTCAGGCTTCACCGAGTTTGACTTTTTTTTTTTTTTTTCCTGTTGGGAAGCTGCAGTGATTCTTGATCGGTATTGCAGATGAATCATCGACGCGGGATTTTTTAGTGCTCTCTTGATGGGAATCTAGATTGTTTATCATGTTTGAGTCCGTTGTGCTCGCCAGAAATGAGGAGTCGTCTCTTGTGGATTTCCTTTATCACTTATGTCTCCTTGCCTCTCCTCAGATCAATCCTTGATTTGAAATAGACTCTTGGTAGCGTCGCATCAATTATGCATTGGTCGTATTCATCTATAGGGGTATTCTGAATTATGTGACAAGAATGTTCGAAGAAATAGGCTAAAACAGTCCCAAAGCCCCAAATGCAGCCACCACTTCACGATCTACATTGAGAAGCCACTCTTCCTGGAACCGCTGCTCGCCACCGCACCCCACGATGAGGGAATGCAAACGCTGGCGCACAAAGTCCCGAATGTTGATTTTATGAATCACATCCGAGCTTTCCCAATGCCGTCGGCGTTCGCTCTCTGGCGGCTCATGCTCATCGTACTTGTCATTTGGCGCGTTGTTCCAGTAGATGAGATAATCGCCGCTGCGGGGGTCGTTGGGATCACCCTCGGCACCTTCCGCAAGTTCCGTGACGATATCCGTCCAAATGTTCATGTATGATTGCAGGTGGTTGAGGATGTACGTGGGTGGCTGGGTATCTGGGCCGTTCAAGGCGAGAAGCTGCGTCAGAGCGAGCGCGTGTAATTTCTTCTGGGTCACGCTGCCAATGTTGTCGTAATGCAGGAACCATTCCGTGAGAAGCCAGGAGAGAACCTGTTCTTCGGGGGTCTGCGTGGCGGCGGAGACGGCGGTGACAAGGATCTTAGGATATGCCAGGGCTAAGCGAGCGAGGACGGAAAAGTAATCCGTCTCCACCACGCCGTAGACCGATGTTGGTTTGCGGCGTGGACCGGTCGTCTGACTAGCTTCGTGGGCGGAATGGAGACCTTCCAGGAGAGATTGCAGGAATGAGCTGTCAATGAGGGAGCGCGTGATGACGTTGTATGTGTTTTCACTCCCTCCGTCAACGGCTTCAGCGCCGCGGATCATGAGCTCAACGAGGCGAGGGACAACGCCAAGGCGTTGCCGGGTGGTGGATTGTAGGAGGGTTTCGAATGAGACGAGAAGGGGCAGTCGGATTCGGTCACTAAGAACTTCCTGGGGGGCGAGATAAATATAGGACTCTGCGATTTGGAGGGCCTGTGGCACACTGTCCGTAGCGGCTTCGAAAATAGGATATAACGCAGGGATGAGCGCGAGAAGCTCGGGAGACGCGGGTGCAGGTGTTTGAGTGAGAATCGCAGACCAGAGCTCTAGAGCCTCATCAAGGAGATATACCAGGGTCTCCTATCTTTGGGTTAGTTGCTTGAGGTCAAGGACCAAAAACGAGGACGTCTTACAGAGCCTGGTTCTACCGAACTGCTGATCAAGGGTAAGACGAGAGAGTGATACTTGATGGAGTCCTGCTTCAAAGAATGTATAAGGGACGAGATTAAAGTTAGAATGGCCTGCTTCATGAGATGCTCCTCGCCGGACTGCTCCCACAATGGAGGCAGTAAAGCTAGTATCTGGTCCGAGAATGGCGCGATCTGAACTAGAGTTAGCAAACTCACTGAGCACAGTTGGTGAAGGAGTGCATACATGATGCTCCATTTTCACCACCACGACACGAACGCTCTCCAAAAGTCCCATCTTAGTTTCAGGGAGTTCAACTTCCTGAATGAGAGACATCAGATCCTGAAGAATAGACTGGGCATAGGGCATGAACCCGGCAGGGGAGAATTCGAATGGATCCAACACGTTCTTGAGCTGTCTACCAGCCGTGATGCGGACAACCAAGTCATTCAGGGGATCCTGTTTGCTTAGAAGGTGCTGAAAGATCTGGTAGATGGCATTCCTGTTGAGCTCATCCGGTTTTACTGGTACCCATTGCCCAAGGACGATGGCAATTCGTCTCCTGAGGACATTGTAACCCTGTTCCTGGATTTGAACTTCTGGGACAAGCGTTGTCTCCAGAAAACTGTTGAAATCTAATTGCTGCTCTAAGCTTGCGGAAGCCAGTCCGATGGCGGAGTATAAAGAGTCTTTGAGCAGTACGTCACGCTTTTCGGGACCTGGAGGGGAAACGGTCAACAGTGGTGTATAAAATACCACCCTCGGCGACTTGAACTTACTTGCAAACGAAAAGAAGACATTCAACAGTCGCGGAATCAGTAAGTCTTTGAAGTGGATGACCAGGTCGAGAAACAGCTTCTCAGAGCACGACCGAATGGAGAATTCCCAAGCCTCAGCAATATCCTCCTCCTTTCTTTCCCACTCCTCCGGCTCAGCCTCCCATTCCTGAAAGTCGGCTTTGCGAAACCGGAAAAATTGAGTAACCAAAAGCTCCATGACACTGACAACGAATTCATGGGTGAAAAGCTCCGACTTTATTTGTTCAATAGACCGTTGTTTCTCCTCTTTGTCTTGCGGGGTCTGATACTTGAACGTCTGAGCGGGATTGAATGCCATTTTGGAACAAGCTCTGATCAAGAGAAGGGCTCTGAGCCCCACCTTTTCCATGAGTGTCTTGCCGCCCGATTCACCATCCTCTCCCAGCTGGCTGTAGTTTTCTCCGAGTTTGACAACAAGGGTCCAGTAAGATTGAACAAGGGGGATGCTGTCCGGCAGCAAGGCGAATGATGCGGGCCGCTCCTTTGCCATCTCGACATGGAGTTTTGACAACTTGAGCAGATGTTTCTCTATCGACCTCTGGACTTGCTCTAATAAAGGCACGGGGCCATTGACAATAGCAAAGAACCGACTGAAATGGGTGTGGGTCAGGAGCCAGAAGTTCTGAGCCTCTTTATCACGATTGGGGTGCTCGAATCCCGCAATGATCAGACGCCGAAGAACCTTGAGGCAGACAAGACTTTGCTCTGCCTCGTCCAGTAATGCCGCTTCATCGACGCCGCCCTGGTCCAAAATTACGGTCCATTTGTTCACCTTCTCCACGTAAATATTGACCAAAAGGTGGAAGATCTCTGGTGCCACTGACTGAAGGTTTGCACGCGTTCTCTGGAGTCGAGCTGTTGACAATTCCTTGATTATTTGCAGTAGTATTGTGAGGGTCCGCGGTAATTGCAACGGGTTGGCGCCGGGCTGGGTTGAAGAGCGAAGGTAGGCAATGATTGATGAGATTCCATCTGGCCTGACAGATATCAGAAATATGAACCTCCTCGAAGGAAAATAGACGGCACTGACCAGTCTTGGGGGAATTCATAGCGCATGATCTTGGCAATCATGAAAGCATTGTGAAGGGCGAGCAGAGGTGCGGGTTCGATTACCCCAGCTTGTACGGCCCTCACTTTTATCTGCTCTTTCTCTTCTTTTTTGATGGCACTTCGAGAAAGTCAGCTATCGGCTTGACATATCCGTATCCATGACCTAGACCTACTTTGTCGCAGTCTTCCGCCAATATTTATCAATGCCATTCTTCAACTGGATGATGGATAGGTAGCGAACTTCGATGGGCAACGATTGATCTAGGAATGCATCCTGAAAGAAAGAATTTAGTCAATATCCAAGACGGAAAGTATCCAAAATGAAAGCGCAGGAATCGAGCCAGGAAGATACCGACGTACCTGAAGTAGAGTGAAGTAACTTTCATGCTTTTCCCAGTGTTGCAGCTGCTTGGTACCGGTTTGCACCTGCTGCTGCGTTGAGCTGGCTGCGAGTGCAAGCGCATGGAGCAAATTCTGAGGATTCAGCGGATTGGACTCGCCAGGCAGTTCAGCTACCTGGGCCATAATTGGTGACGGTGGAGTAAGGCAGCTGTTGACTTCGATCGTAGCAGATGCCAACCAATTCTCAGCCAGGATGGGGACTTCAAGAAACCTAGTTTGCCATATGTTCAGGGCCGGTCAAGTACTTCGATTTACCGCTTCGGAAATGAGATACAGAAAGGTGTGATGATGAAAAAGCAAACAACTGAAAGAAAGCTAAAAAAAACTCGAACGGTCCAACCACGAAGCTGTCTTTGTACAATGTTTCTACTTTCTACTTACTCCTCTACAAGTCCCCGCAACTCTAAAGCTGGACCACGGAGTATCATTCCTCCGCTCCAAACAGCCCTAGGTTTTGACCCTCTGCGCTAGACCGTATTGGAAAGCTGAATTAGGGCTGAGCTGTCCAGATGAACTATGAAGTCATCCCCGACTGAACTACAACACTTCTGTTGTCGCATGGCCAGTTTCCAACTCGGAACTGCACAAGTGTCTTGCTCGAAAGAAGTGGGCCCGACTACCACTCACTGAAGTGATTGACATACGATGAGGACAATAACCACTTGAAGAAAGCTGAGCGCTCGTCTCGGCAGCGGGTTCTGTGACATCGACATGATGTAGTATGATGTATGATGCAATGCAGCCCAAGGTCCCTGATGCTGGACGATATCAGCTCCCAGGCCTTCTTGAAATATCTATTTTATGCTGGGACTGACCATTCTTGTCACTAACAACGTCGACAGCACACGCCTACTCTATCCACATTCCTGCTCTACAACTCTCGTATACTCTACTACAGATATTAGCCAAAATGTCCGATTACGACAAGGTCAAACTCGCCCACGAGGCAGGAAAAGATTTGAACAGCTACCAGGCCAAGCAGGGTCTTGGTTCTAAGAGCGATTCCAGTATGTCATCTAGCTTTGCAAGTCCATACCGACTTGGCCATGAGGCTGATCTCTATGAAGCTGTCGAGTCTGGTGTGAACGAAATGGTCGACAAGAAGTTCGGGGAAACCGGCATCAAGACCGGCAGAGAAGCTGGCGCTTCCAGCAGCGATCGTAAACCAATTCCCGAAGATGAGGGCGGCAGCCGAGATGACCGTGGCAGGTGAGACAAGGACTCCGCTAAAGGAAGTTCCGTTACTTGTTCAATGACTGACCTGCATTCCGCGGCAGAATTTCGAAGGCCGGCCACTTCCAAGGGCCTGGTGGCCCGGAAGATAAGGTGAGGATAGACTCGGAACGTCGTCCTGGTGACGATGATACTCTGAACCTCCAAGATATGAAGCGCGAAGGACTTGTTCGGAAGATAAGGTGAAGATGGACTCGGAACCTCAAGATATGAAGAGCGAAGGGCTTGTTCGGTAGATTCATCCAATCCTAATGATGTATATGTACAATTATTTATGGGACAAACATTAAGATATTGTGAAGGTCGAACAACGTACCGAATGGACACAAAACGGGAATCTGAGCTGCTGATCTACAATTCATATGTATTGAGGCGCCTCACTTAAAATTACGTGGTTGAATTGCTCTGTCATTCAGCTGATTAGGCATTCCGGTTATTCTTTGGGGTTTGTAAGGTATTTTGAAAGCTGTTTCTATCAAAACTTAAACCGAACCTTGAACAATATTCTAGGATAAAAAAAGGTCAGAACAGAACTCGTGATTTCTATCTGAAGGCCGAAAGAAAAAGCATCATCTTTTATTACTGAGCATCGTCAATCCATAAGTTTTATAGTTACACATGTACAGATCTTCGTTTTTAGGGTCAGATTCATCTGTCCAGGCCGTTTTCCTGCTTCCATTCTCATTCCAATATTTACCCAGAGCATGACTTCAGTAAAAATCATGTCGTTGGCAATTTAAAGCAGGCTCAGCGCGAGTCCCAAGAGGAGACCAGTGACACCGGCTGTAGGAGCGACAGCGGAAACAGCGGCGTTGGGGCTGGCGGATGAAGAGGAGGAAGAAGAACCCTTCTGTGTGCCGGTGGCATTCTTTTTGGTGGCAGTCACCTTGGTGTTGTAGTCACTCGCAGTGTCATAGGGGAAGGGGCTCGTGTAGTTGTATGTTGGCTTCGTGTTGGCGTAGGTCTCCTTGACGATGTCCAAAATACCATGACCAGCAGAGCAGTTGCCACTGGTCAAGGCGTTCGGCCAGGCAGAGGAGTATTTCGAGTATTCGCCCGCTGACATGGGACCAGGGTAGGTTTCGTTGAGGCGGAGATTAGTTGTATCGACGTCGTAGTTGACATATCCCGTCTTGTTTGCCACGATCTCAAGGATGTTCGCGCCGCAATCCCATCTTCCCAAAGAAGGAAGGCCCCAGTTCGCGGACACGGAAGCAATGACTGAGTAGTGGGTATAGAAAGTATCATCCTGAGTACCCTTCAGCTTATCAGGGATAGCTCCACCAAGCAGAACACTGAAGATCTTGTTGCTCTTAGCATAAGTGTCATCCTCATCGAAGGTAAGCAGGATCAAGGTGTCATTCATGAAGTACGAGTTGTTGAGCAAGGGCGCAATCCAGCTACGCTCCCATTTGGCTCCAAATGTAATGTTGGTGTCATGGGCGTCGTTGGTCATGTTTGGTGTGATAAAAGCCCATTGAGGAAGCTTCTTGTTGGCCAGATCATCCTCAAAGCTGGTGAAGTTCTTGATCTGGCGCAGACGAGTGCTGTTCTTGGTGACAGAGTCATACAAGACCAATGGGTTATGCTTGCGCACATAGTCATTGGCATGGGTCTGCTGGTTGGAATAGTTGAAACCCTGGAATCCAGGGTAAGGCATGTGCTCCTGATACTCTCCCCAAGCAATGTTCTTGGTATCCAGGAGATCAGCGACAGTAGAAACGTTCGCAGGAATCTGGTTGAAGTTGTCATTGTCCATGCCGAATGTGTCGCCTCCGGCAGCAGCGCAATAGTTTGGCTCTGAAGGATGCGTGACTGCATAGAAATTGGTGCTGTTGGTGGACTTAGTCCCAAGTCAAGAGGGAATGGCCGATGTGAGTACTTACAGCAGGATTCCTTGCGAGGCCAGCCATTTCATGTTCGCGTCTGCCGCAGCATCCTCGTAGTCCTTCTGAGATCAGCTCCGAACATGGGTTTTCTGACTAGTGAGAGCTGATCACATACAATATTTTCAAGCCACACTTGAAAGAAGCGATTGAATGCAACACCCTCAACGTTCGAAACAGGGGAGTAAGGCTGGATGGAGGCTGCAGCAGATTCTATCGCAGAAAGAGAAGGTTCTTTCTCAGTAGCAGTCTGACCATAGGCCAGAGAGGCAGTGGCAAGTAAAGTTGCGACGGAAGACTTCATCTTGAAAATCTGTTTCCTACGCACGAGGAGAAGAACAACGAGGCAATGATCAACAGTGAGAAGATTTCGGAGACAGAGATGATCTGACAGCTTTATATATGTGGGCACGGCAATCAAAAAAAATAATTACCACACGCGGTCAGCACGTTCGGAATTTGTTGCGTCAAAAACCACGAGATATCCTGGCCCGAGATGACAAGCTAATGAGAAACAAGGAGTAGAAGGTGCCAGCGATTGTAACCACGCGGCCAGCGGAGCTCGTCTGATTCGACGCGGAAAAAGCAAGGATGCAATGACGATGGCTACCTAGTATTCACTGATCATAATTGATAACAATGGAGCAACCATATCTCTGTTGGCACTTCGGAAGCGATCCTTTCGACATGGTCGATACTCCAAAGCCACCGATCAAACTAATACATAGTCAAGACATCACAAGTGGATCTGTAACGCGGGGCCGAAAATGAATGAGTACTTCTCATTGGTCAACAAATGACTGGGGTTAAGGCTTAGCGTGACTTAGCCTGGCCTGACCATGTTCGAATGGAGACTCATCTTGAGGTAGAAGCCAGCACGTGCTTGAATTGTTATACCTCAGAGGATAAAGCAACGAACAGCCAGGTACCTTGGAGAGCAAAATAGCAGGGTTTGGAGTCCAATGAACTAAGACAGGCTTTCATATGGCGCTATGGGGCCACTGTTACATCTCGGCAAGAATAATCCGAGATCCGAGACCGAGAGTATCTATATTGCTGCCCCCAATTTGCGGTTTTGACTGCTCGTAGGAGGCTAGGTGCAGCTAATAATAATAATGAAGGCAACAGAAGCAATTGCCTCGGAAGTATTCCATACTACAAGCAAGCTTTTTTGGAAGTTTCATCGAAATGCATCTTTATCATACCTTGTATCAAGGCGCCTACATAGTGAATGTGCTACTCTGTACGAGGATCTATGGTACATGGTTTTTATGCTTCTGTGTCAAGTCAAATGCTTCGTAGGTAGGAGTGAGATAATCTCGCAATATATTCATTTGAAAGAAACATAAAAGTATCGAATCAAATGGAGCGAAAACTCTCAACATTCAAAAGCAAGAACCATTACATGGCTTCAGGTGATAAAGAACATACTTCCAGAACAATAAATGTTGACTTCATGGCAAAATGTCCTTCCTCACTGTTGTATGGTGAATTGAGGACTGATGGTAAAGTCACGTGCCTTATTTCAACCTCGGCAGGTTCCAATGTCCGTCTGGGGAACCGACCAACGCCTTGATTACCGCATTAACCTACACTCTTCCCTTCCTGCTCCTTCCTAATAGCATAGCACGCGCACGATGGTAGTACGATGAGCTCGACAAATTTTGCCGCTGCTCAGGAACGAGTCTTAGAACGTCGTCGCTTGCGTGAGGCCGAAGCTCGCAACCGACTGGCGGAACAGCAGCGGGCATCACCGCTGAATCATCCAGCGCTCAGCCGACTACCGTACCCGTTGAACAGAATCCCACAATCCGGCCTCACGTTATGGAACTCTATCAAGGGGCGAGAAGGAAGCAGACCTGCCTTCCGTGTTGGGCAAGTTGATGCCGAGCTCCTCGATGAAGAATTGCTGGGGCTGCTTAAGGGACAGGTTGGGGATGCTTTGAAGTACTTCGGGGTATAGCCTCATATCGTCGCAATTGCCCAATCACCAATTTCAAAATCGCTAATCATATTGATGTTTTGCTAGCCTCAATCACGGGAAGACTGGTCTCACGAAATCCAATTCGTCCTGCGTGCAATTTTGTTCAAACTCTCCATATGGGATCACAATGCCTCGTACGGTGCTGCCCTGCAGGGATTGCGATACGTCGACAGTCGCAGCAAAGGGCCCGTTCATTCTACTCCTACAAAATGGCAAAAGATCTTATATGGCTTCCTCACGGTTGGTGGTCGCTACGCCTGGGAGAAATGGGAGTCTTGGTTGATCAGCCAAGAAGGCGGTTACGAAGAGGTATGATCTCGAACATATTTGGGAAATTATCTAGTTTTGTGCTGACTGAACGAGCCATCGCGGGAGGTTCGAATGCTAGCTCGGCTCACGGATTTAGTCTCTACAACGCACTCAATCGCAGCCTTTGTTTCATTCCTCGTCTTCCTGGTGAACGGCCGATACCGGACATTAGTCGACCGAATCCTTCGCATACGCCTTACCCCTCCATCAGCTCAGTCTGCTCGCGAGGTGTCTTTTGAATACCTCAATCGGCAACTCGTATGGCACGCCTTCACTGAGTTCCTTCTCTTCCTATTGCCCCTTGTTGGAATCAGTCGCTGGCGGCGGTGGCTATCTAGAGCATGGCGGAAGACGATATCCGCCATCAAATCAAAGGGTGACGATGAAGATGAGGTAGAAAAGCGGGGAGAATTGACGTTCCTCCCAGAGCGAACGTGTGCTATATGTTACAAAGACCAAAATCCTGCTTCCACTTCGGAAAACGAAATCATTGCAATGTCGGCCGGGGGTATCGTCGGGTCTGCACAGACAGACATCACAAATCCCTACGAGGCGATCCCTTGCAGCTGCATATACTGCTTTGTTTGCCTTGTGCAGAAGGTGGAAGGAGAGGAAGGAGAAGGCTGGGTCTGTCTGCGTTGCGGCGAGATCGTCAAAAAGTGCAAACCATGGAATGGCGACGTCCTTGAAGAAGTTCGACCTCCGTCAACCTCCGGAAAAATTGTGGGGTTTGCTATGGATGAAGATGCAGATACACAGGACTTCGTATCTGGCCAGGTACCAAAAACTCTTGCCGAGGAGTTAGGCTCCTCGCAAGAAGTCGGTCAGGACGAGGCATTGGACCACTCTGGCCAGTGGTCCAAAATAGACAAGGAATCGGTGGATGACGCGGAGGTCAAATCGGACGAGGAAGTCAAGGAATCCGCGTGAGACATGGCATATATTTTGTCTACTTTTTATGTGAGCTTTCTGGTAGCTCACAAACTGTATATAAGCTGCCACTGCTG